ATCAAGGTGATTCCTTGAGCCCCTTGTGGTTCTGTCTTGCCTTGAATCCCTTGTCTCATTTGCTGCAGCGATGTCAGGCAGGATATCGTCTGAGGAATTCTACAGAAGAAACTATTATTTCTCATCTCATATACATGGACGATATTAAACTGTATGCAAAATCCGACAAAGAAATGACAAAACTATTACAAAATACAACAAAGTTTAGTAAAGATATAAATATGGAATTTGGACTGGATAAGTGTAAAACGTTACACATAATCAGAGGGAAAATACGCCCTGGGGACTACGCAGTGGATGAGTCAAGTACGATAGCAGCTATGGAGTCAACAGATTTATACAAATATTTAGGTTATAAACAACTTAAAGGGCTAGATCACACCTCAATCAAACAAATATTAGCTACTGAATATAAAAGTCGAACTAACACTTTATGCAAAACCCAACTTTCTGCTAAAAATCTGATAAAAGCATTAAACACATACGCTATTCCAATACTAACCTACTCATTTGGCATTATAAAATGGACAAAAACTGACATAGAGCAAATAGAACGAACTACACGCACTACATTAACCAAACACAACAACCTACACCCTAAATCCGCCATAGAAAGACTTACTATCAAAAGAGAAAATGGTGGCAGGGGTTTAATAGATATTTATCATCTTTGGCAAAAACAAGTTTATAATCTAAAGACATTCTTTCGCACAAAATCACACACAAGTAACATCCATAAAGCCATAACTCTAAACGACTACAATTTCACACCACTAAACTTAAATGATCACACTGGAATACACAACCCTAATAACATAGACCCACAGGCAGACAAAATAGAAAACTGGAAAAAAAAGGTACTACATGGAAGACACCCTCATGATTTAGAGCAACCCCACATTGATACAATAGCGTCAAATTCATGGCTTAAAATTGGTAACCTATTTCCAGAAACAGAGGGATTTATAATAGCTATACAAGACCAAATAGTTAATACGAAAAATTATAGAAAATATATAATCAAAGATGCAACCGTTACAGATGATAAGTGCCGAAAATGCCACATTCAATCTGAAACCATTCAGCACATTACTGGAGCATGCATTACCCTCACACAAACGGATTATACACATAGACATAACCAAATAACTAACATCATCCACCAAAAATTAGCACTCAAACATCATCTTATACAAAACACAAACACACCTTACTACAATTATACTCCTCAATCTGTATTAGAAAGTAGCTCACACAAACTTTACTATGACCGCGCCATCCTCACAGATAGAACCATCCACTATAACAGACCAGACATAACCCTACAAGACAAAATTAACAAAACCACCTACCTAATTGATATTGCAGTACCGAATACACACAATCTACAGAAAACCATCACAGAAAAAATTAGCAAATACACAGAACTAAAAGAAGAAATAATACGAATCTGGAGACAGGAGAAAGTTTACATAGTCCCCATAGTTCTATCTACAACAGGAGTTATACCTAAACATCTTCACCATAGCCTTAAATTAATCAATTTAAATGAATCCGTGTATTTTAACCTACAGAAAGCAGCAATATTGAACACTTGCCGAACAGTCAGAAAGTTCATGGATATTGAAGAGAACGGAACAGCACAACACACACAGCAACCACCATCTACATCTACATAACAAAGACACACACCTCACTGTATTTACTTGGTTTTGGCCCGTAAATACAGTTGAAACCAGCCTTGAGCTGAGAAAAATTAAGACTACAAAAAGAATAATAATAATCATCATTCTAGTCAGAGCAAGTTTCAAAAAAAATTAAGCATAAAAAGGAATATAAAATTAGATTAAAATTTAAAAAACAACACTTTTATTTAAATTGTTCTGATTACTTAATGTAAATTATAAATAATTAATTTTAAGTTTTTCAAGTTGTTTCAGCCTATATTGACGTCACAAAAAAAAGAGGCATTTTCATAATCATCATCATGATCGTCGCTGCCTTTGTCAGTGTCATTCATATCATCTTCTTGGGAACTTTCGTTATCTTCTAAAACTCTATCATCTTATTAGGACAAAAAATGCTTCAATAACCTCTCCAGCTTTAACTACTACGCCATCCGTGCAGTTGCACAATTACATGAAGAAAAATTATTTGCGATATGAATTAAAACAAAATTTAGTTTTTTATAATAGTAGAAAGTACGTTAGTCTAAACTCGAAGACCTTGAAGAAACATAATTGACCTGGCATCTAACTTTAAAATATGCTTTATTATTTTTTTATTGAACACCAATTTTTGTTTTATGAAAGACGGGGCAGACGAGAAGACAGGTCACCTGATGGAAAGTGACTACCGCCGACGATGAACGCCTGCAACTCAGGTGTCACAAACGCGTTGCCAGCCTTTTAGGAAGGAGAAATTACAATATGATAGGTAAATATTTCAGACGGATATATACAATAGGCGGTCTTATCGCTAAAACCGATCTCTTACAGGCAACCCATGGATGGACAAATCGACAGTAGAAGAGAAGATACACAAATACTAATAATGAATTCTAAACATTGATATACGTTGTACCTATACCATATCAGGCAGTGGAAACTGCTTCAAACTGACTTTTTGGTAGAAATAATACCACCATACCAGTAAAGGTAGAAATAATTGGAACACCGGAATAATGTTTGGAGTATCAAACAGATGCACTTGCCATTAAGATTTCTAAGGATGCCGATTGTCTGTGGGCGTGGTACCTAATTGTTGAAATCTTAAAACTCCATATTTTGTACCGCATCCGATTCTCTCTCTCCAGCATTAAGATAAATTGTTAAACTCCTACAAATAATTGTGTGATATTTCGAGGAGAATAAATAGAGTTTAACAAATATTATCTACGAGATAACCCGCGCAACTTCGTCTGCGTCTTAAGTAATAACATTTGTCCCGTTTAGCAAAATTTTTCATTGAGACTCGGCTCCTATTGGTCGTAGCGTGATGTTATATTAAATCGTTCTTCGATAAATGGGCGGTTCATCACTAAAATAATTTGGCCACTGCTTGGACAGAAATGTTTATAAAGTAAATTAATAAAACGATATATCGCTATGATAGTTAGCATTGCAATAATCACAATGACAGGCTTTGTTGATGCTACGCTAATGTTCAAAAGAATCATAAGTAACCGCAGAAGCCTCTCTTTATAATCACGTAAACGTAGCCAATCTTGTTACTATTTAGGTATTTAGGTACTCAAAGGAGTAACGCAAACTGTCAGGACTAGAAGTAGAAATATTACAAATTAGAATAACGATCAGATGATTACAGCGGTCAAAACCGCTCTGGCATTAAGAAGCCTCCAGCATCAAAAGTTTTAATTAATTGAAATCTATTATTCATTAGAAACCAGTTTTTGCCACCAGTCTCACTCTTAGTAAACTACATTTTATTAATCTGACAACATTCAAGTAAATATTTCACGTTTATCACTAATGTACTAGATTTTATAAATCTGATCGACGAAAATATTTAGTAATCAACATGAAATATTTTTTTGTAAACAAAAACTTCTTTGCATTAATCATATTAAATAGGGTAGGTACACTAATATAAATAAATATATTTTTGGACTGGCATATACTCTTAAAAAATTGTAAGACGGGAATAACGAGTTATAATGGTTGGTTGTAAAAATTTACAACTATGGTTACTGGTAGTAAAAATTTAAATAAAACCCAATTAAATCTTACAAAAAATTTATTTACCGAATTGTCTTATTTAAAACATCACAGACAGTTCTGACTTTTAATTAAAATAAATACTTAAAACATGCCAATAGTTTAATACGTCATGTTTACTACAAATGACTAAAATAAAACAACACTGTTCAAAGGAAGATCTTATGGCACAATACTTTTTATGTACCTACTTTACTTACTCTGTCACTACGCCCAGTCTTAATTTACCTAAACTGCTACAGAATGGATCTATCCTCAAGAATCCAGGTCATTATTTGTTGGACTATAATACAACAAAGGGAAACGTGAGATGAACATACCTAATCGTAATAATAATAAAAAAAAAACACACCTCACACACGGCCGTCTGATTCTAAATTATGTAGAGCCTGTGCTTTGTTAACCAGACTGCTGATAAATATACTTAAATATTTATAAATACATACATATCATAGATAAATTAGACCCAGGCACAGAACAAATGATCGTGCTCATCATTCAATTATTTGTCCTGGATGGGAATCTAACTCACGACCCCTGGCTTTGCAGTCAGGGTCACTAACCGCTAAACCAACAGGCCAGTCAATTGTTATTTGTAAAGGAAATTCAAATAAATTATACATAAGCTAATCTATTATCCGAATCGAATTGTAAGTGAGATGTTTATGCGCCTTTGAGTAATGAAGTCAACTGTTGATTTATAGGTATAAATGTGAAGGCTAGATTTGGGAAACCTGTCCACCAAAAATATGAAGTAGTTTTAAATTCTTCCTTTTTGATTTACCATCATTTAGGCGATTATAACCAGTTTCAAGTCATTATCCGTTTCAGACAATTATTATTGTGACTTACGTCCAAAGCCGCAAATAGGGGACATGAGAATTTAGAAAGGTTTACAGGTGTTCAGGCATGGGACTGAGTAAAAAAAATCCCTTAGATGGAGTTGCTAGCTAGTTATCCATAACCAAAGTACAAGCTATTAAAATGTATAAAGAAGTGCTATAAATAGCTGGAAAGGAAGGGCGAAATAACTCGTTCTATAGCTATCCATATCCGTGTGCTTATTTAAGTTTCCTTGTTTAATACTTAATTATTACAATAGTGTCGTATTAGACGTATGTAGTACTTAAAGACGTACGATGAGTTCTACGTAATTTTAGTGTAATTCAGTCTTGAATCTTCCCAGAAGACAGTGCCACCAAACTGACATCGCCAGAGATCGAGTATTTTGATGCATTCTAAAGGCACGTCTCATTGCAACGTTCACAACTGAAAAAGTAAGGAACATGATGTTAAATGTAAAAGGGAATTATTAGGTATGTAAAGTAAAAATTATAAAACTAATTATTAATACTACTACCGGAAATTATTATGATACGGCAGGTATATCATATGAATATAAGTACAATTACATTACTATCAAGGTAAAGACTAAAAATAATGAGTCACAAGTATTAAATGAAGGTATCACATGGTGTCACATATTAAGTCATCCTAACTTATAAACTGTCAAGACATATAATTATGTAGGTACATATATGTAGGTCAACCTGCGACCACGGCTACTGCAAGTTCGAAACGTCAGGCAATCCAAAGGTATGTAATTTCTGTGTATGTACATAATTATAATCAGTAATCCTTTTTAGGGTTAAGTAGCCCTTATACATACTACTTTCATCAAGCTTGACTCTTCGCGGCTTAGCTTAGAGTCCGTTAGCACTAGATAGCTATAATTTGGCATTAATGTAATATTGATAAACGAGAAAAAGCATTAACCCCACTTTACGCGAAGAGAAGGTTTCCACAAAATGGCAGGAATATTTTTCTATTCAGTGATGCTAGTACGATGTATTGAACTTTACAGTGCTGTTTTTTGTTAAAGTTAAGTACTTCCCCTCTGCCACAAGCGAAAGCTGATGGTATGTGTAAAGCACCAAGAAAAAAACGATGATGGCTAAATTACCTCTCTTAGTATAAAAGTTCTCAATGAACTTATATGTACCCACTTAACAAGCTTTCGATTAAAATACAAAATCCTTAGAAAAGAAATACTTCATGTAGTCGTTACTTACTTAAAACGGAACCCAACACTGTATGTGGCCCAACATGTACTTGGTTTTTATTACACCTACATTTTTATACATAATATGACACATAACTTACATCTATTCTAGTCTCGGCGATATTCTCCTCGTTTCTCAGCAGCTCATGTTTGAGGCCATTTCGTTTCCTGGTAACAATAAAATCAGTTACAACCGGCAATGCGTAAATTACTTTCCAAGTTATTATACATTTAAATTTGAAGCGATTTGGACCTGTTTTGTATCAAAATGCAATAAAACGAATATAAAGTGCTCTTAAGTCTTTGTTCAGCGTTTATGTCCTCGGAGGGCTATATCCACTTGGCATAATACAGTTTCCGTCCCAGTTGACCGCTTCCTACGCACCGGGCTCTCCGGCGGTATCGAGTTACACCACACAATGGGGGCTTTACGTATACACGGATCGTATACATATATTACTGTTGACGCGTTTATTTCTGATTTACTTTACGACCCTGATGTTTTTTTTTTTTGAAACTTACAAGTATATCCTCCTCCACACTATAAGAGCTGTGTAGGCGAGACACACGATGGTGCAGGTGACCGCCACCATGATGCCGGCAGCAGTTCCAATGGGCTCGCCCGTGTACCGGAGTCGTCCTGACAGTCTCGGAGCATCCTTATGTACTGTTTCATCGGGACCTGGAAGTGAAGGTTTATATTTATTTTGTGCGTATAGCTCGTACATGAATACATAATATGTAGGTATAACTAAGTCGTTGGGGTGATAAAAATTAGCTTTCAGCACTTTCTTCCATATTTAAACTTTAAGTACTTATTTCTTGTTTAGGCTACTCTGTGCACGAATGTTTTTTTGCAAATACTTAAAAATAATGATATTCACATACTAATAATAATATAACATATTGATATTATGTAGTTCATTGTATTCTTTTGTAGCCATGATTGAGCAAACTAATAGTATCTTGAAAATGTACTGATAACTTATCAGATAATTTATGTAGAGTTCAATGTACTCATAGTTACAAATCGTAAAATGTACCTACTATCTAAGAACCTACTTTGTAAACTGAATCTCTTTAACGGAATAAAAATAAGCTACCTTCCTCGTTGAAAACCAGATTCAAACAAAACCGATTAATCAAACTAAATCATGACATACATTTATGTAAAACATAATAAAATAAGCTAAAGATGCTGGGGTTATGTCAAATGTGCAATTACTATAGGGCAACGGGATGAAAGTAAGTACAAGGCCGCCGCTAGCTGTTTGAGCGATGGCGTGCAATGCCGATTAAGCAATCCTTTTTTTCGGAGCGGTAATCGCCCTTCGCCATTGGAGAACCGGTGGGGTGGTTAGGGATTTTATTTTTGATCAAATTCTTTTTTTTTTGTTTTTTTGCTCAAAAAACGACAACTCCCGCATTAGGAAAATATCCTGTGTCGCGGGGAATCTTACAAACATACATGAAACGGACACAAAGAACACCCAGACTTAAAACAACAATTTGGGGATCACACAAAGTATCGTCCCATGTGGGAATTGAACCCACAACACTCGGCGTAGTAGGGAGCGGCGTGGCGACCGCTTAAACCACTACGCCATCCGTGCAGTCACCTTTTCAGTCAGTTTATCCTTATTTCATTGAGTTTAGAAATCACATTACTTAATTTCGCCACGGCACGTCGTGACATGACGCGGGACGTCGGAGAATGCCAGAATCACCAGAATGAATCACCGCGTCCCGCGAGCCACATACGTGTAGCCGGTGTAACCTAGAAAGGAAATCCCTGATACCCCGACGGACTCCGAGTCATCTACGTGGCCCCTAATGTGTGGTGGCCACGGTTTCCCTTTCCTGCCTCTAAAGGCGCTCCAGAGCGCGTCGCTCCGTCGGCACCTGCCACCCCCAGGCCTGTGCATATGGCGGACGGAGATCATTGAGCGACCTACTGCGCTTGAGAGGCCTGCGGTACCTGGTCCGTTCGCGGGCCTAGTAGGTTCTTAGCCCCTTCACCCTCCCCTCTCTCTCCACCCCGTTTCCATTTCACCCTCTTATTCGCGAGCATAATTTGCTTATAGAAGGAGTTGGCGCAGTTCTATGCTTGCTCGCTCTGTACCATGGCCGCAACCAGTCACGAGGTCTGCCTCTGCTCCACACAAACCGGGCATTATGCCAGCGTGTGAAGCGTCGTATCCACGATCTGGCCATTGCAGTGATGGCACCCAGGCCTAGGAGCTCCAAAGCATCCTTTGCGTCAGCCGGTATCAGAGGGTCCCGTGTTTCGTCTCGAGCCAATCCTACATAACAGGTCTTACCGCCGCAATAACGGCATGCGAAGATAAAGCCACCCTATAATTTCCCGAATGTAAACTATCGCTTGGTATGGGAAATTCGGAATCCCCGCACCCGCGTTTTAAGAGTAATTCGAAGCTTATTAAAGTTTGCATTTATTTTGGTTCACCGATCAATAGATGCTACTATTATGACATAATAATAAAATTATATACCTCATAGACATAGCAGTACCGAACACCCATAACGTCCAATCTACAATAGCTGAAAAACTAACCAAGTATCAGGATCTAGCAATAGAATTGAAACGGCAGTGGCGAGCAGTAAACATCCATATAGTTCCAATAGTCATATCGTCAACCGGAATAATACCTAAAAGCCTTCAACGTAGCTTAGACATTTTAGAAATGCCACAACATTCCCTACACCTACTCCAGAAAGCGGTTTTATTGAACACCTGCAGACTTACACGGAAATTTCTCACCACATCTTCAGTTTCATCCACATACACCATTAGCTAAACTCTGATTACACTTGGCTATGGCCCGTGAAATTAGATAATTATACCCCTTTCAGGGAGATTAACAAAATCAAAATATATAATAATAATAATAATAATAATAACAATAATAAAAAATATATTAGACATGCAAGTTATGAAAAAGTTTTCGTTACCATTTTGATTTCTGTTTTTGCCGCCCCCTTGAATATGTTTAGACGTGTGCGGTGCACGCTATCCACACCCGAACGCCCTGCCTAAGTATATATATATATAAATGTAGGTATGATTGAACATACGTACACACATATAACTTTGAACTATGTGATGATACTAGAGAGGACTTCGTTAATTTCATTACATGCAATCGTATATCCTGCAGTATTTTTGGTTTATTATGTGAAAGTATACAAGTACCTTGCAATAACTCAGCCTGGGCATCCGGCAACATGGGTACCTCTGCACGAGCATCCTCAGAGTCCTCAGGGAAAGTGGGAAGATCCATGTGACTTTCGTTATCATCGCGAGAATGCAGCATGTCAAACACTTCCGATCTAGAAACGGGATTAAGCTTTTATTATTTTATCGTTGTGATGGAAGTATGGTAATAACCCCCGCATTATGCGTATGAAATTACATTGTGAAAAATATTACTTTACCAGCAATAACTGTCCGTTTCAACTTTCATGGCATTAATTTCATTGATTGATTATGTATGGCGGATGAAACTTTCTATTAATAAAAGGTGTGTATGTTTATGGCTCTTAATACATTACTTACCAGTAACTTCTAACTAAGTATAGTTTTAATTATGGTTTTATTCCGTACCTGCTCACCCCATTTTTATCATCAACCAATAGTTTCAATACGGTAGCATTGGCTTCCAAAGTTTTATAACGGCTGTTATCTTCCACTTCCTTGGCAAGGTCTGGCAATGTGTTTTCTTGTTCTTTTAACGTGTCTGTATTTTCAGCAAAACATGGTCTGATATCTGGAACGAGAATACATAATGAGTGATGCTCACGACGAACAGATTTATACTTGTAGATGAAGCGAATTACTAAGTAACACAAATCAATTAACACGGCCTGCGTGAGAATGATTTGGAAAAGTTGAAATACCGTTACTGCTGTCCGAAGTTTGTATATCTATTTAATGTTAAGTTGTTAGCTAACTGACTGAACTGCAGGCCACTCCAAGCTTATCTAATGACAAACATTCGTGTCGCCGTCCGACCCAACACTTCAATTAGTGGGTCAGGCGCAGCTTTAACTTAATGTGTTCTTAACGGTGTAAAAATCCGGTTTCTTGAGTTAACTTTGCAGCTCAATCCATATTGTTGTGTATTATTTTCAGATGAGATAGTAAGTTATGATGTGACTCATAGCCATTTCACTGTTCAAAGTAATCTCGCATTTTGAAGTGAAAGTGTTTTTAGAGAGCAAATCGGTAAAAATCTTGTTCATAAGTATGATATATTGGCTGGAGGCTGACTTGCAATTATAAATGAAAGTATGATGTGTGTAGCACAAAGAAACTAGTTGGTAAGTAATAACTCTTTCACTAGAGCTCGGTCTGATGCTGTAGTTATGTCGAACTAGAGTCACTAAGCGTAAACAGTCTTCTTTCTACAAGTAAGACGTTTTCTTAATATATTAAACACCTACTGTTTCAAGATCTCATACACTTAAATTGTTTTAGTTGTAGTAACATGAGTAAAGTAATTACGTAGGTACATAATTACTTTACTCATGTGACTTTACTTATGTTACAATTAGGGGTCCAGTATGTCTACAATATTCTTAAAATAGTTAAGAACATGGATTCCAGTGTAGTCATACCTAGCAATTTTATAATGACTACCATTAACTAACAGGAAACTGACTTAAAAATATTTTTGAACCATCTCAAATTTGTTTCTGATGTGTATTAAAAAGTATATTTATCTGATTTGCTGCGAAGCGATTGCATCCAGGTCAAAAAAAAAAATCAAAGAAACGCAGATATCGGGGCAATGTATATAATTTAGAAAAGAGGTTATTAAAATCAGGGATAATCAGTATGGGTGGCCCGCGGTGCTGAGGTGTATTACATAAATAAGAGACACAGTTCCTACATCCATCCAAATTCAGGATTGGTCCACAACCAAGTTCTTACGGACCCCTTTCAAAAAATATAATCACACTTTCTATAAGCTTTAAACGTTAAGTAAAGAGCGAGATTTGTCAGGTCTAATTATCCAGTTCCAGGCCAGTTGAATATCAAGATCGAGTTCACTGCCATAACCATGATAACCGTACTAGCAATATCTCTCTCTGTCTCCACTGTTTTCCCATCTTAACTACTTTTCTTTTGAATGTACACCCAAATATCTCAACAAAGTGACTAGTCTTGTCCCCTATTACGTGAGATATAAATTGTACTCGTAGTAGTCGAAATATGCTTGTTTTATCATCATTTGCATCTGCCGTACTCTTTGCGGATATAGACGTGAATGTTATTCAGCTTCTTAATTGGTTTTAACCTTTGCCAGGCTATTCAAGAAAATAAAGCAGTGCTTATAACAACATTATAATTCATTATTCACATCATGACATACCAAGATTTAGGTTGATCATCACGTTGAATTTATCTTTGCTCAGAATGACACTTAGTAGTGACGTCATCTAAGTCGTGTACCTAAGCAATTAGGGGTCCAGTTAAGCCATTAAGTTATCTTCATCGGCGATGGGTACCATTGTGGATATTTCCGTTACCTTGTTCAGTAATTGATTCTAGCTTCTACGGTGTTTCAACATCACTTAAAAGGTATTATTGTAGCTCGCCTTCTCACGACCCTTGGCGGAAGAATAGTGCCTATACGTTTCCGCATTGATCACTCACTGAGAGTTAACTAATCAGATAGTTACTGGTTAATTATAAAGTGAACGTGACATTATATCGACTTCATACCTTTCAAAAAATTATTAAAAGATATTACATACAAAGTAATGCTTTCCAAAATAATTTCTGTCTGGAGCCAATCGATATTAAGTAGGTATATATTTTCACAAATATTGTATTAAAAATAAAAGCGAACACTTTCTGTACATAATATACAATATCTTCCTTGAAATTTACTGATAATAGGTGGTAGATATAACTATTAACACTGGGTCTTCAATAGCTGGATAGTCGCTTGTTTTATAATTACGAGTATATATAGGAAAACAATAATGTTTTATTAAAATATTTATGATGTCGGTCTATCGTGAAATGTATGCAAATTTGTCACAACACTCCACTGTGACATATTTAACGTAAACCACGCCGTAACATACCTATTCAACGTGACTTAGAACAATAGTGATCCCTAAACACGGTTTTATACTTACAGCACAAGATAAACAATTTCACGTGACTTCAAAAGATATGATCAGTATCATTCTGAACATAAAACTAATACTAATGACGTCATCTATACATATAAAATGACGTGACCTCACTGATTTATCAACGAAGAGTTTAACCGTTGGGGCTACAATCTTGAAATTTTGGCATTGGATACTTTTTATGTTGTAAGCACCCACTAAAAAGGGATTTTTAGAAATTTCATTTCTAATCCGGTAAAATAAGAGTTGAACGATGTGGAAGTTCGGATAAAAAATAATCTCTCGAGCAAAACGCATTTGCTAGTAAATTTAATATACCCGTAGAGTATTTGTGTAAGTTTCAGACAGACATTATGTTTAGGTTAATAGCATTACTCATATACCATTTTTACTAATAGTATTGAGAAAAAAGTAAAGCAAACTAAAATTGATTTAACTATGAAAATATTGTTTGAAATTGAAATGAAAAATTAATCACAAAAACAGAGCTAGTATAGTTAAGATTATTTAGCAATCAAGCTTGATTACAACACATTACATTATATTACCTACTAGCCCTAAGAGACCTGAGAGACAGTCCTATTCACTAGCTTACATCAACGCCTTCAATAGTCCGCTGCTGGACAGAGGCCTCTCTTTAGAAATGAGGTTTTGACCTAATATACCAGACGCTGGCCAGACGGGTTGGTGTATGGTTTGTGTCAAGTTTTTCTCCTCTTTTTAGTGCTGTTACTCTGCGTTTTGCTCCCTTAGTCGGATCTTACGACACTCAAGGGATGAGGGTGGTGACACCTCGGTTTCTCAATCCGTCATGCTATTCACTAGCTCAAAACATAAAAAAAAATCATTCAAATACTAAGTACTATTGTTATAATAGTACTTAGTTCTGTTTGAAGTAACAACGATCCATAAATTTAGAAGTACCTTCCTCAATTAGGTATCTGTACTCAGCAACAACTTTCCTAATTAAGTTGTCCTACTTCAGAATTAATATTTCAGTAAATGTTTAAGTAATCCATTAGCTTACTTCCACAGCACGAGCAAAAGCTAATGAATAAATAAACATTAAGAATTCGAAACGCTGGTGAACAAAGGGCCGGCTAGATTGCATTGCGCAAACTGTACACACGTGTGTTATTAAAAGGACCGGTATAATGAAAACAGAACCTACTTTATTTACAGCTTGGGTGCGTATACATTTGTGCGTTGTACCCTTTTTTTTTTTCCGTGCGTAAATCCCCTCGGATACCAGTCCGAGCGGGACCGGGAGAGTCCTAAACCTCTCCCGGTCCCGCTCCGCCGTCTCTTTCGCGAGCATAACTTGCTCGCAGAAGGAGACGGCAGAGTTCCACGCACTCTCGCTCCGCACGATAGCTGCAATCAGGCTATCGAGCGAGAGAACTCCCACTCCGATGGCCGCCACGAGGTCTCGCCTCTGCTCAACCCACGCCGGGCACTCTGCCAGCGTGTGGAGAGCCGTGTCCACGGTCTGGCCATCGCAGTGGTGGCACTCAGGCGTTGGCTCCTTGCGGATCAGACACAGGTGATCCCCGAAACATCCTTTCCCAGTGATCACCTGCGTCAGTCGGTATGAGAGGGTCCCGTGACGCCTCTCGAGCCAATCCTCCATAACGGGTCTTACCGCCGCGATGACGGCGTGCCCGTGTGCGTTGTACCCTGACCGATCGGTGCGCGGGAAAGGCAATAGCGGTTTTAGGTCGCTTCTTTATCTTCACTGGTCACGGTTTGTCCTTTTAGGTAAGTACAAATCTACTACTACTAGTATTTTTTCAGGCTGGGACATATTATTTACCAATCATCAAGTACATTGCCGGACATATGCCTCTCCTTACTAATGTAGGTTTAAATTCAAGTTTGCCCTATCTTTGCAGTGCTGTTGTCCTACGTAGTTTGCTCCCTTAGTCGGCTCTTACTACATGGGATGAATAGGGATAATGATACTCCGTGTTCTTAATCCATCACCCTACGAAAGGGGACGCCGGAACATTTCACACATCGCTAACACCCAGTCTAATGTAAGTAGACAAATTCATGCTTACACAAATATTTGAACTAAGCGGGTATGAAGCCCGCGACTTCCGATGTGGGAAGCGAGTGCACTACCGACTTTCTATGTACTACGTTTCTATGTTAAATGTATGTATGTAGGCGTTTTGACACTCATTGGCTTCATGAACCAAACCTAAGCGGCAATAAAGAAGATGAATTCACATTCTGGCCATTAAATACATTCCGCGTTATTATAAAACCCCCTCTGCCATTGAAAAAACAAAAATTAAAAATACGAGGTGTATTCTATTCATACAGTGGGTATCGTAAGAGCCGACTAAGGGAGCAAACTACGCAGGACAACAGCACTGCAAAGAGAAGGAAAACTTGAAATAAACCCTATACCAACCCGTCTGGCCAGCGTGGTATAGTAGGCCAAAACCTCCTTTATAAGGATAGGCCTATGTCCAGCAGTGGACTGTTAAAGGCTTTTGATGATGATGATGAAACGTAAACAAACAATTACTATTGTCTCGGAGGCTTTCTTATAACTGTACGCTATCTACTCAAACATAAGGTTCTATACAAATACTCTACTTTGATGAAGCTTTTACGTTTAAATTTTAATGATGTTCGTTGATGACCTGTATGTGTATTGTATTAAAGATCTAGAAAAAGAGGTTAAACGAATATCATTGATAGGATTTAAGGGATCTTCAATCCAACTCATCCTCGATAGCTAACAAAGATAGGAAGCAAACTTGAAGTATTTGATACCGTTTTCTCGTTATTTATATCTTTGATTCATTGACATGTATAGCAATGACATAACATTGGACCTAGATCACGTTATTTTTTTCTATACTCGTTGTAATTCATATAATAAGGTGTAGAAAGTGGGAATATGAAAGGGAATCGATTGTGATTCCAATTATTATCAATTCGTACTCGTGATCTCTACAGAAGACAGAGCTTGACAGAGATTTACAAAACAGTTTTAAGTAAATAGGAAGTATTGCATCGAACGTATACTTATGTTTAGGAGTTTGTAAGCCCAACTATTAATTCCAGTATAAAGGATGAGTCATCAGTTACCAGTTATCATATTTAGCGTTTTTTATTTTAAAACTGTTAACGACGCGGTTGCTAACAATATAATTTACTTGTTATTAAGTATTAGCTTTGTGTGTTCTATTCTTTCACAGAAGATCAAAGGAAAAATGGCTTACCTATTTTCTATAGGTACGATCTAAAAGTTAACGGAGAAGAACTGTAGGGCTATTCCAATATCTTTTTGTTTACAATAAAAAAAAGTTGGGAGACCTTGCAAACCATTGCTTATTTGTTTCTTTTTTGTTAACTGTAGGCTTAGTTGCCTTGTAACTGTGTGTATTTAGGTCATGTTCTATGTTATTTAGCGTCTTAATTATTATAAACAAAGCGATTTGCAAAAAAAGCTGAGTGAAATCAATTTGCAACGTGTCTTGGTTTTAAAAGGTCAATTTGAGGCAAATGACTAAGATTTTCATTCATTCACGGTTGTTAAGAACTCAAATATGACTCATTATGTAAATTATTTTACGTTTCTTACTACATACGATTGTCATATATGGCATATTTACTTGTGAATTTATTTCCTTATGAGTCGCATCATATACTCTAAACTGATCAATGAAAAACGCATGAGTCAGTAGACTTACCGTGCACAATTTAACGATTCTCGGTAGTTTGATGCTTAGGTTGAGTATTAGTTAAGTAATTTTAGATCATTAAAATGTCATTAGTTGTTTCTTAATTATCTTAAAAGAGGCTAATGTTAGAAGTGAAGCTATTTATTTTGCTTTTAGGACTCGCGTAAATTGTTTTCACCAAACTACACGGCCAGGGTATGGCATTTTATGGTCAGGGGGTTCACTTTTCGTTTCATGTAAGTATTTGTAGGCTGTCTGCATTGATCTGGGTATTTTATAGGTATATAAACAAATCTACATGTCAAAATAATGAAATAGAAAGCAATGATAAATTGAAATAGCCTAAAAAGTTACATACCGGAAGGAGTACTAGGTAGGTATTTCGTACGGTGTGCAACTTACTTGTACTTACTTACTTTACTTACTTACTTGTACTTTTTATAGGTATTTTATAGCCCAGTGTCCGCCATATGTATACGTCTCAGAAAAGTATTTCTAGTTATAATAACCGTACTTACCTATATGTACCTACCTCTATTGTTAGGATATAATTTTGATTGTCAAAGTCCCTGAAGAAATTTAATCATTTTCCGCTTTTTACATTCAGAGGATCGTATTACATTAAATCACGTTACTCAAATTTTAAAATGAAACATTATACAACTTTATCATCATCATCGTCACCAAAATAATGGTGATTGAGAGTATTGAGATTAATTTAAATAAAAAGTATTACCATCTTGCGATTGTTCTTTTTTATTTTATTCAAAGTCATATACAGTATGTATATATGGAGCAAGAGAAATTTAACTTTGAGAGATTCTCAATACTCAACCTGGTAGAGGCAGCTCTAGCTTTATTATATTTTATTTGAACATAGCGTGGCTTGGTTGGTTCTATGTAGAAAGTTTTGCTCGTGAAATGCCGTTTAACTAAATCAATTTACCTAACGAATAAGCCAGTGAAGCCAGCATTAGTGACGAATAATATCAAGTTATTAGGTATTCATCACAATGTGAGGTCGAGACCGACCGTGATGATTTCTGTGCCAAGTTCCTGGTCGATAACGAATTAAAAATGTTTATACTGCTTGTTGATTTGATTAAATGAATATTCAAGATAGTGGCTAATAAATACCTACCTGTCGCGGCAACGATGATCAAACAGAGGAGCTGGTAGCGCGCCATATCAAAACACACTGAAATACAGATAACCAATGGTTTTATTTGTGTTAATGCTGCTACTATATAAGCTTATCTATAGTGGTCACACATTACTAATTATTTAGATAGGTATAGTGATAAGAGGACAATAGAAGTACCAACATAATACACTATCGGAAGTCCCGGTTTGTTGTTCACTATTGATATTATGAATTTGTCCGACATTGCAGTTGTTTTAAATTAAACAAAAAAATAAACTTGAAGGTAATTTCGAATGCTTATTAAAACAAGATACGCAAGTTACTTTCGCGATGACCAGAAAACCAGTTCTGGACGAGAGCACGTCTGTTTTAAAAATACCTGGGAGATATTGCAAGGGATCCGGTGTCCGGTGGGAAGAAGCACTTTTGTACGATCAACTTAATTTTATATTCACAATTTTTTGTCACTTTATCGATGACATAGGTGCGCGGACGCAACCGGTGAGCGAGCGTTCGACTGTGGCGGAGTCGTGCGGTATTCTGAGCGGTGAGCCGAGAGTCCGAGAGTCGTCGAGTGAGCGTGAACGCCATCCGACAGGAGCCTGAGACTCTGACCTCACTGATGCAGGAAATAAGCTACCTAACGACACTTCGCGCGGATAAGGCAAAGGTGAAGAAATGTTAAGTACAAAAGATGCGACCCGTACACAGGCTTTTTGTAGTTAGTTAAAGTAAAAGTTGCATACCGTACGAAATACCTACCTAGTACTCCTTCCGGTATGTAACTTTTTAGGCTATTTTAATTTATCATTGCTATCTATTTCATTATTTTGACATGTAGATTTGTTTATATTTCGTTTGGGATTTTATTATTATATTTTAATTATTTCTTAAAAATACAATTTAAATAAAAAATATTTTATTGTCAAAAATATACCTTATATAAATCTTCATGAATTTCGTTATAAATTACAACTGCAAATCATGCACGCATCATACAACCATACATCACGTGTCTCTTGAGTTCAGTTCAAATGATAAATGAATGTTTAACAACGTTAACCAAATATGTCTAGGCGTTCAAAACAATAGTGGGTTGTAATCTATAGGTAGACATTTAAGATTTCCTTTGTATCCTAGATGTAAGTCTATGTTATAGTATATAATTAAAAGACGTGTTACAGCTTGCCAGTCTTTTTCTTCACAAAGGATACAAACCAAATGTGACGGCTAGCACAAGTGCAAGAGGATACAGAGCTGCTAAATGATCTAAACTTTGCTTAAAACGATGAGACAAAATATTTTTTTGTAATTTAACTTCAAAACTAGAAGAACGGTTCTTTACAGCTTTTTGTCTTATAAAGCTATGTATTGGAGCAACAGGGTATTAGATTCCCTCACGAGACAATACTCCTTTCATTCGTATGAAGTTGTGGATGTCGTCTGAAATGGTATTGCTAAACGGACTTGATAATAAAAAACTAAATAATTGTGACTGACTTTATGATTTAGGAACAGGCGATCCAAAGAGCTGCACGACTTCTCGTTAGAGTTGGACGTGGAGAGACCCGCTTAAAAATTCATGCTTACCTACAATTACTCTATACCTACAAGTAAAAATAGACAGTAGACGCCTTCAGGAGCTTATGTGTGAAATAAAATCAATTTTGTTACAGTTTTTTATTCACTCGTATAAATCCGTACATAATTCGGTTTCATTGCGGTAGGTACTCAGACAATGTTGTTCTAGTTGTCGTGTTACTTCACAGCATCAATACTTACCATTCTATCTGTTCTCAATGACTCAATACTTCATTGTATAAGAGAACACGTTTTGTACCTTGATTTGATAAAAACTTTCTTTGTTCGGTAAACGTTAAGTGGGTGCGTGAGACATTTGCAAGGAATTCTGCACTCGGGTTCCAGTCCGGACTGGGAACGTGGCCGCTGACCCCGAAACATCAGAAGCTTTTTATAACTAAATGCACTAAGTGGCTGCATAGCAATATAATTTGCTCTTATTCTGATTGTCCTAAGTTTCGTTTACTTAAATGCTTTAATTTCAAACGATCGGGATTGAATAAAAAGTTTAAATAAAAATCATATTTGTATCTACGTATGTAACTATTCTTTATTATTATTATTCTTTATATGTATTAACAAGTGGATATAGGGCGATCTAGGCGTTTCTTCCGTCTGCTCTTTATTGGGTTTACGTTTTGGAGCAGATAATTACCATCGTGAGTCACAAATTCACAACTTACTAATTCTGTCTTACTAAAGCTCCAGGTCGCCAACATTACCTACATTTTGTTGTAGATTTTATTGCGTGTGAGACTACTGTGCATTCCAATTATTGAATACTAGCTGGTACCCGCGACTACGTTCGCGTGGAACTTGAAAAGTTACTTAGTGGGCGATTCCCAGACCGGGCAAAATTTTAAAGGTTTTTCTGAGATGAAAAAAACCCAAGTTACTTCTTATATAGACAGCTACCTGGTAGTTAAATATTATCAAAATCGGTCCAGCCGTTTAGACCCGAACAAACAGACAGACAAAAAAGAAACCTATTATATTTATACTGGTTTAAATACCGTGTGAGCATGAAAAAAAACCCTATCTTGTGGACATTAAAAACAGACACTTCAATTTTATTTATTCATATGGATGATTACTATAAAATGTAGTTAGTTAACAAATTCATAACAAAGGTTTTTGATAGAAAGCTCTCATAAATAGACCCATACTAGTATTAGTATACCAGTCTAATATTATAAATACGCAAGTGTGTTTGTCTGTCTGTTACCTCTTCACAATTAAACCGCCAAACGCGGGTGGAGTCGCGGGCGAAAGCTGGTACTGAATAAATGAAACGACCTACATTTTATTTCACAAGTTTTTGCGGTAGATAAACTGTGTTGCGCTTTGCGACAATTCCTATTTATTAACCGACTTCAAAAACACAAAAGAGGAGGTTATCAATCTGTCTGTATTTTTTTTTTGTTTTACGTGTCACGTTTTTGATGGGATGTATTAATGTGCTGACTTTAGATAATTAGTCTATTATACTTATTTTATTTATAAAGTGTTAAGTTGGAGCCTCCTTTAAGATTTAATTAGTGAAACTTAAAAGTTATCAAACCAAAACAGCCAATTCGCTATTCATATTTAATTGTAAAAATGCACATTACATTCTCAAAATAGTAAACACAGTGTTCTTGTCAAAATGTAGGCCCAGGTATAATAGGTAGAATTAATTCTAAAGAATCGTCTCATATTTTTTCTATTAATTCATATATATTCGTATGTATCTATACGCAAAGATCGCCATAATTATCATTACATAACTTGCTTTTAAAATTAAAATAATGTACTAACGAGTTTCTCCTCGGCAAGTATAAATCGTTGGCATTCACAAAATACTTATTTGAATTATACTGAATATTTATTTATTTTACTTATTTATAAATAAATAAAATTATGTGGGTAATTTTCATGAAAATTAGATGTCCAAAGATTCTAATATGGGTTTGTTCTGCAAAATCGATATAATTCAGACGGCTTCATGAATATATTTAAATAATTTCAATTCTTTGAAGCATATTAATGTTTTTAGTTCACAGTTTAAGCTTTATCCATCCACCTATTGCATCAATTTTTGCTATATTTTAGACGGAGGATGAAGTCATTGCCGCATTAGCAATGCTGAGTGAGCGGTTAGACAAGTATAAGGCATAAATTTAAAAATAGTTCCTTTAAGTATTTTACAGAGACGCAGTACAGGACATAGGTACACGTTATTTTACTAGCTACTGCTTGTGAGTTTAGTAACTCAAACAAACTCAAATGTCACAATTGCTTGGTAATTTGCGACTATAAAGTGCCAACATCTGCTCCACAGTGAAGTGTTTTTTTTGTGTGCGAGACTTTTAATGGTAGCTTTTCTTTTCCGATTTTTTTTAAACTGCACGTAAGTAAGATAAGTACAATATTGATCGTAAGAAAAAAATATTCGTTTGTTTACTTAAAATATAATATATTTATGAGTATTTGTACGAGTATATCTTGGAATACTCAAAAGATTAAAGCGAAGTTTTTTTATTGTTTATATTCTATCAACAAATTACCATTAAAAGAGAATGATTTCATTACATTAAGGTGTGAAACCAACCGATATTGAACTAATGATGTCATGCATTGTAACTTTGTACAAATTGTATCCAAAACTACTATCTTAACTTGTAGTGAAAATTTACTACTGGTATGATTTGAAAGTCATCTTAATACCAATTAAAGTCTGTGTCAAGTTAGAAGATTGCTATCCTAATATTTACTATTTAAGTACCTCTTATCTGCTGGTCGCAAAATCGCAAAACGGTATATTTTCGTGTTATTAAAAAGAAAAGGATGATATTTTTTATTTTATCGTGTTAAAATAATTCGGTTTTAGTAATTAGTTTTTTTTGCCATGGATGGCATCGCATTTCATTTATAAGTAAGTTTATATTGGAAAAATCTCAGTGTTTTTGAAATATAGTTACTTCTATTCATCACAAGATGACTAAACTTTGTGTAATTTAAACTATAAATACAAAGGTACGTAAAACTTAGTTAAATTATTAAAAAAAATACTGTTATTTGTTCTGCATTCAGTCCTAAAGAATTTTCAATGGCCAAATAATATATTAAAATTTTTAATAATCATTTTGTGAACATACTGTCATCTATGGTCAACTAGAAAAACATATATAAACAGAACAAAAATCAAAACCAAAATTTGATTACAATGTTAATCCAATAAAGTACTTTTAATATAAAAATTAGGGAAATTGTACCTACTTAGGCAGATTTTTACGAAATGTTTAAATTATAAGTGACATTCTAATTGCAAAGAAAAACATTTAATAAAATTTGAACATGTTTAGTATTTCGTAAAAGTCAACCCAAGAAATGGTCTTTTATGAGTAAATTATTATTTATTAAAAGTAAATTATTATTCGTAGGTTATATTATACCTCATTAAATAAAGTCTCCTTGAAAGTCTGTATATTCATGTATGTGTAGTCATATATTTTTTAAAGGATTTTTACCTACCGTAAGACATCTTTTATAAGAGTTGTAGCTTAGTTAAAAATAAATGTTTTAGACCCGTTTGCTCGTCTGCCCCCTATAACATAAAAAAAATATTGAAAGTTATTTTAAGCTTTTCATTGTATGGTTTTTTTTATTATTCATTAATTGTTTTTTTACGGATTGACGTTCAAAAGTCCATTCAGGTGCCTAATTCAAAATAAAATATTTTAATTTAAATTAATTTGTAGGTAAAATTCTCCGTCAAAAATATTAAGTATACTTAACTATAGGTGAAAATCTTATCACTGTTTTTCTCCGCAGTGGCCAATACCCGACTACTCTTGCAGGAGGCTCTACTCACGGGTTGTGCGGTCCATGGCCCTTTATGGGGTCAGAGTACGGTGGAGGCCCTGAAATCAAGCGACGACCGCAGCGCGGAACGTGGACAACGCGCTCCACACGCTGGCAGAGTGCCCGGCGTGGATTGAGCAGAGGCGAGGCCTCGTGGCGGTCATCGGAGTGGGAATTCTCTTACTTAGTACCATGATTACGGCCATGGTACGGAGCGAGAAATCGCGAAACTCCGCCGTCTCCTGCGAGGAAGTTATGCTTGCGAAAATGACGGCGGGGCGGGACCAGGAGAGATTTAGTACTGTCCCGGTGCGTCAGGCCCGGGAAGGGGTCAGCTACCGCAGGACCCAGGCACCGGAGGTCGCAAAACGACCTCCGTTCTCAATAAGCGCAGGCCTGGGGGTGACAGTTGAGGTCATCTGTCACCTTAGCAGATCTTATGACCTTCTTTTTCTGTCGGTTTGGCGGCGCGCCTTTAGGTTGTAGAAAGATAACACCGTAGTTCCCACACACGAGGGGGTCATCTACAAGCCGTAGATGGCCGGGGTCCGTCGGGGTTCGAGGGATTTCTTTCCTAGGGTACACATGGTTACCCTAGCTTACTTATACATTTTGTGACATGTACACATGTTAGGAAATTGTTAGGGAAATCTCAATATGGGTTTAGAAAGGGTAGAAGCACAATGGATAGTCTCAGTTTATTAACGACTGATATCCAAATCTCTTTTCTTAATAAGGAATACTTAGGTGGAGTTTTTCTTGATATAACGTCAGCGTATGACAACGTCCTGATTCCAATCCTCAAAAATAAACTGATTTACCAACTTGGAATCCCCGAAAAATTGGTCTGTTTTATTTGTAGCTTATTTTCGGAAAGATCCATCACAATCAAAAGTGGGGACTACTCGCTATCACCCAGGATGATATGGAAGGGCTTACCTCAAGGCTCGGTTCTAAGTCCTCTTCTGTACAGTCTTTATACATATGACTTAGAGTTGTCGATAGGTCCTTATGCTCAAATTCTCCAATACGCTGACGATCTAGTTTTGTATTTTCCTAATAAATCTATTGAGGCAATTATTGATAATTTGTCAAGTGCGCTCAGTTTATTATCGTCGTGGTTATTTCGCCATGGTCTTTCTTTATCGGCCTCAAAGAGTTCGGTCGTAATTTTTACCAAAAAGCGAATGATTCCCCAAGTTGGCATCTCAGTCCTTGGTGAAGTCATTCCGCAGTATGATAAAGTTAAATTCCTTGGGGTGTGGTTGGATTCCAGACTGACAGGTGTGTCTCATACTGATTATGTTGTAAAGAAGTGTGAAAAAAACATTAATGTTCTTCGCTCCCTTTCTGGAGTTAGGTGGGGTTCCCACCCTTTTTCCCAAAAACTTCTATACAACGCTATTGTCCGCAGTCACCTGGATTACGGCTTATTTGTTTTAGAGCCCATAAATAAATCTGGTCTCCAAAAACTTGACAAAGTTCAGTCTAAATGTCTCCGCATTATTCTCGGAGCGATGAAATCCTCCCCTATCAACGCTATGCAGGTTGAATGTGGTGATCCTCCTCTGTTTCTTCGTAGACAATTTCTTGCCAACAGATTCTTTTTTAAACTTATCCAAAATGCTGACCATCCGCTTCTTCCCAAACTAGATCAGCTATCTCACTTATTGAATAATCTTGATCCACGTTCTAATAAAACTACCCCCTGCCTTCTTCTTGCTTACCAGCAATTCACCCGTCTCATCAATCCTTTATTCCAAAACTCCACCTTACCTCTTTTTTGTACGCCATACGAAGCGTTAGTATTCCAACCAAATGTCATTCTGGACTTGGGAATCAACAAGTGCTCAATAGAAGCGAAAAGTCTTTTCACTAATAAAATTACCTCCAATTATAATAATTGGCCCCTAATTTTTACAGACGCTTCCAAAATCTCATCAAATGACCCAGTTGGTGCTGCTGTCTGGATTCCTTCTACTAGCATAATTCTAAATTATAAATGTCCCGCTACTTGTTCTGTCTTCACTGGTGAGTCTATAGCAGTCTTAGAAGCTATTTCCTTCATAAAATCCCATAATTTAAACAATAGTATATTTTTTTCGGATTCCATAAGCTGCCTTCAATCTATTCTATCAAACCCATTCCGATCAAATTCCAATAGTCCTATTATCCTTAAAATTAGACATCTTTTATTTCAATGTCAAAAACTGAACATAAACATTGTCTTAGCCTGGATTCCTGGACACGCCGGAATTCCAGGAAATGAGACTGCAGATTCATGTGCAAAAAATGCTGTTTATACAGGCTCTCATGACCATACAGAAATATACTCTTACGATATTTGTTCATCCCTTAAATCTCAGCTGTTTGATTCGTGGTCCAGGCTGTGGCGCATGTCGAAAACTGTGAGAGGCCAATTTTACGGCGATATACAACCAGAAATTCCACTTAAGCCGTGGTTTGCTAAATTTAAAAAATTAAATAAAACCACCACTTCTATAATTTGTCGGTTAAGACTAAATCACTCATACACTCCAGTATTTTAAGCAAAACTCAGAATTAGGGATAGCTCTATATGTGAGTGTGGGCTTGATGAGGGAAACGCAAACCATATATTTTTTAATTGTCCTAGAACTAAGTTTCCTATTTATGAATTCATTCCTCCTCATATTCCTCATCCCACGTCCCTTAAATTACTCTTATCTCGCGTTTTTACTCCTTTTGTATATATTCTAGGTAAGTGTATAACTTTAAACAAAATTAAATTATAGTTTCAATATCACAGTGTAATATTTGTTTTTGTTTTACTGGTTATTTATTATTTTGTATATGTATAAATATTATTAGCTGTATATATATTTTACTAGTTTAAGTTTTATCATGCCTGTAAAAGATAACAATTTTTTCATTCTTATTCTTTCATTCTCAAAATTTCTTTTGACTCTACCACAGCTCTACATAAAATCCTTTGACAGTTTGTCTTTCAAATACATGACATTGGCGAAATTGTGGTTACACTCTACCACAAAGCCATTAACCAAAAGTTGAATGTACACATGTTTTTTAATTGACATTTAACATCTGTAAAAGTATAAAGGATGGTTAGGATGTTAACTCATAAATTTTTGGATAAGAAGTGATACCGTGTTTGTATAGAAGTAAAATTTATTGCATAGAGAATGAATAAAATGTTTAATAAGTTTAGGTAATTAATAAAATGTCTAAAACTATTAAAATCACTCACTCCAATTATTGTGCTTGACACTTACATCTCTTTCGTATTGTATTCATCGTATTGTACGATAACCGTTGAACACCATTTCTCATTCAAGATCTAAGTACATCACAAAATCTCAGCAGCAATGACAATGACAATTTTTTTAATTTGACGTTACCAGCAATGTTCGTTTCGATGTTGAGATTTTAACCTGAAGATCGATTCTCGTAACAAAAATGCGTTCAAAATTAGGTTCCGATCTATTATTGATCCCACAAATGTCATAAAAGGTATTTTTAGCCACATTCATGCACGTAGTTCTCCTAAAGAATTATAGATGTAAAAAAATAGACGTCCATGTGACATTATATTATTATTAGTTGTAATGGGACTTTTGAGGTTGCGGTATTCAGATGAATTTAATCCATTATCTGTACTCAGTATCCCGTATGTATCTTCCAACATTCTTAGAAAGATGTGTGATACAGAGATAGAGAAGAATGGGGAACACGTGGCAAGATCAAACGACCCACAAATAGGGGGCTCCATGTAGGTACTCCATTTTATTTAGGGAGTAGAACCTGCATACTATCGAAAGGCTTTTGACCGGACATATAAGTCTTAAGAACTGCTGTCTTTATTAACAAAACGCACGTTCAACGACTCTCCGGCTCCTTTGAACCGACAGAGCATCCGATGGATTTGAGGATCCGAAAAACCATCCCGACGGCCGACCTCAGGCGCACTAGTCTGAAGAGGGCCCCGACCATGTGATTTCAGGTCCTCCCCAAATTAAAACCACGCCTAATCGGGCTCTATCCCGGAAGCGGCTGCAGATTTTCCCAAATACGCCTAAAAACAGAAATTGTTAAATGTCTGTATTTAACAATTTAATTCATCAAGCTTAAAGTTCAGAGATTTTAATGCTTATGAGTACGAGCTCACAAGAGCATTCATGAGCATTAAAATTACGTCAACACAAAATAAGACGACAATATGAAGACATTAAAGTATTTAAATTATATGAAGTAATCTGTTCTGTATCTGTACATTTAATCTAATGACAACATGAAAAGCAACAACACTTAAAAAGTAAACAACATATTATACACGGTAAGTAAATTATACCACTGGTCATGAGTAGTAGACAATGTCCAAGATCTGGCATAGTCGGATAACAGGGTTGCCTAGAATTTGGACAAAATAATGGTCTACCTCTATATGCCAAATTAATACAGTCATCATTCCAATCATTCTTATAACAATGTGATTGAAATGGCATACATTGCATTGGTTTGGCATTTAGAGTATTATGAAAACATTTATAGATTGCTTTACAACCCTTTTGAGCCTGATTCTGACATTGTCTTAATCTGTTACAGTATTTGCCGGCGCGATTCCTACAGTAGCACTTTTTATTCATTTCCGACACTTGACTTAATTGTTTTACGACACGCTTTTGTAATAATTCTAAAATTGCCATTTCTTTTGAATATCTTTTCAGTTTACTAAGTAAATTATTCTGTCGTCTTGCTAATTGTCGTTCTCTCCATGCCAACTCACATTCTCTGTCCTTTAATTTCTGTTTTAGTTCACATTCTCTTTTGGCTAATTTCTCTTCCCAAAGGGTATTACAACTCGTGCTAGCCACGCTGCATTTCATGCTGAATGCTCTTGATACCTACATTATCTTCAAGTTCTGTGTTTTTGTGTCAAGTAAAAGTGTTTATTTTTGTTGGTTACCGATAAATGCACGTAAATATTTTTGTGTCATTTTTTAAATTAAATATTTAACATTCTTTCACTCGATTTTTTTATGTTTTTTGATGTAGTGCAAAATATAAACACAACATAATGACAGCGAATGTTATCAGATATTTGATAGATGATCATAGATGCTCATGAAATTTTTTATTTAGTTACGTTGTCGTCTGGTTATTGGTGTAGGTATAATCTATGGTTGTAGTAGCTGGTGCTTATTCCTCAGGACTTCCTTTTTAAGCACCAGCCGCATTAGCAAACGGTCTTTATAATACAATTGTAACGGTCTTTGTAATCAAAAATGTGGTTCAACTCTTCGTTTTTTAAAAGATTTTTAATACTATAAACTTATTTACTAAAATTATAAACCGATATGAATTAAAAAGTAATTTAGAAATTAAGATTAAATTACATTTTGATCATGAGAGAATTAATTACTGTTGTATAAGAGCCTAAAAATAGAGGAGTTAAGCTCTTGCTATATTCAGTCAAAATCACCATTAACCAATGATTTTCAGTAGAAAGTACTAATGGTACCATTGTCTATTCTGTGTTTTATCGAGAGCCTTTGGCATTTTCAGTCAAAAATGTAAAAACGTTAAACTTTAAACTGTTAAAAACATTAAAATATGAAGAAAAACAAGTTATGCACAGTGACAGTGTCCCTGAAAAAAATATCCATGCAGGGTGCTTTAACCTGTTACAGAGTCACTTACTGGGTTGCTGAATTCAAAACATCGAGTTGTGATGATGATGAATTTGAGGAAGATTATGTAGAGAAATAATCTATTTTAGTTTGATATTTCTCATTCCAAGTTTCAAGAACTTTTTGATTCGCCCATTCGATTTAGCTTTGCAAATGGAATATTACTCTTCTGGGTTGGCATACCAGCTGTGAAATCTTTTAATAAAAATCAATGTTCCTTTGTTCGTTCATATTTTAAGCACTGCAATAGGTACCATGCATTCGATCCTCTCAAAATTCTGCACACATTTTGCTATTGATACAACAAAGGATGGTGATGGTGAAGATGGCTTTTCTTCAAAAATGACTATCACGTAAGCCTAGTAAAAATATAAATTTAAATCGACTGACAAATGGCATAAATCAGATGTCGTGTGACATCTGCTGTTACTTAACAATATTGTATCAGGTAAATAATAATCACAAATAAAAATTTCATCAGCCTCAAAGATGTCATAAAATACTTTTAACACATTTTAGCATGGAGCCCATGAACAATAGTGTCTTCATAAAATAGTTAAAAATGGTAGTGGTTTAAAAATAATGGAAAACGAGTCAAATCTCATATCAATATCTAAAACAACGGTCGAAGAAGAAAAACGGGAATCAAAGAAGAATACCAAAGAAGAAAAATTTGAATCGCAGAAGACGAACAATGGAGGATTGATAATCTACGAAAGGTTAAATTTCACACCGCAACAAAGTTCAAAAGATAAATCAAAAATTATTGTAAAAATACTAAAACATATTAAACAATTACCACATTTAATGAATAAAGGTGATCACAAATGTTCAAGTAAAAAACATGTTGGTAAAAATGGTAACCAATTGAGTGTACAACGAGCTAAGTTTGGTGGTGAACAGAGTTTTAAGAAAGTCTATCACTGTGTTCTTAATCAACATTCACGCAGCACTACACCTACCAAACCCATGCGCCATTTCCGGCCACCTCAACACCAGACACCACGACACTATAATAAGGATGATTATAAAGCCGAATATGATAATGACAACGATTACGACTATAGAGATGATTATGATCCACCAGATCCCAAACCTGGATGTCCATTGCTTGATGATCTAGCACGTTTACTGTTATTTCCATTCAGTTGTATACTTTCGTTGCCATGTATGTGTTTCGTAATTTGTGCTATCTGTTGTCATGCTATTTTGAGAATATAGGTGTTGAGGGGGGCATTTTATTTAAATTACAATTATTACCTTAAGATTTATTATTAAATGTTAGAATTTTTTATTTGTGATTATTGTTCAAGGATAATAATAATAATAATAGCCTTTATTTAACAATCTTTCTTACAATATAGTTACAATAACTTATTTAATTGTCTGACACCGGTACGTGAAGATTGTCTTGCTGTCTAGCATAGGCCTCCCCTAGAGTTCGCCATCGAATGCGATTATGTGCTTGTCTTTCCCAAGTAAGTCCCGCTATTTTTTTAATCTCGTCTTCCCATCTACGACGCTGTCTCCCTTTCCTTCTTTTGTATTGTCTCGGGCACCACTCCGTTATGTCCTTAGACCATTTATCCTTATTACTTCTAATCATATGTCCTGCCCACCTCCATTTTAGCTTTTTAATACAATAGGTAACATCTGTGATTCTAGTTTTCTTCCTTATAGTATCCAGTTTTATTTTATCTTTTAATTTGATGTTAAGTATGCTTCGTTCTATATTGTGTTGACAAGTTTCTAATTTATGTATATTATGATTAGTTAAGCTCCAGGTTTGGCATCCATATGTCATGACAGGCAGAATACACGAATTTAATATTTTGCTCTTCGCTCTCAGTGGTACTAGTGGGTTTTTCATTACCTCCTTGAGAGACCAGTACCTTTTCCATGCCAAAGTGACTCTGTTGTTTATTTCTTTCGTGGTTAGGTCTATTGGAGATATGATCTGTCCGAGGTACGTGTATTCCCTCACATATTCTATAGTTTTTCCGTTAACAATAATAGGGATGCTTACCGAGTTTGACATTGTTTTGGTTTTTGCCGTATTCATGGACAGTCCCACTTTGTCACTTTCATACACCAGTTGTTCTAACATCTTTTGTAAACTTTTTGAATCTTCGGAAATTATTATTATATCGTCTGCAAATCTTAGGTGGTTTAGTCGCACTCCGTTGATATTTAATCCGTAGTTATCCCACTCGAGGTGTCTAAACACGTATTCGAGAACTGCTGAAAAAAGTTTGGGTGACAAAGGATCTCCTTGTCTCACTCCTCTCTTAATCGGAAAAAAATCTCCATCTCTTTCAGTTCTTATTTTTGCTTTCATGTTCTTATATATGTTGATAATCAATCGAATATACTTTTTCTCCACTCCTTGTATTTCTAAGGCTTCCCAAATTTTTGCGTGTTTTAGAGAGTCAAACGCTTTGTTGTAATCCACGAACGCCAGGTAAAAGGTAATATTGTATTCGTTACATTTCTGAATTACTTGCTTTATAGAGTGGATATGATCTATTGTTGAGAATTCACTGCGAAAACCTGCTTGTTCTTTGGGTTGGTTTTCATCCAAAGTTTTTGTTAAACGATCTAGCAGTATTTTTGAGAATACTTTGTACACGTTTGACATCAAGCTGATAGGTCTGTAGTTGGCTATTTCATCTTTCTTCCCTTTTTTGTGTAATAATATAATGGTTGATATAGTCCACTGTTGAGGTATGTATTCTGTGCGCAAAATTTCATTAAATAACTCTGTGATAGTGTTTAACGTTACTTTGGATGATCCTATTAGCAGTTCGTTAGATATGCAATCTCCTCCAGGCGTTTTTCCTTTCTTCTGTGATTTTATAGCCTTATTGACTTCATCTCTCAGTATGCAGGGGGTCCCTTCTTCGTCCGTTTTGGCCCAGTTTACTAGCTGCATGGATTCCTCTATTGTTACATCGTTGTTGTATAATTCACGGTAATATTCTGTTGCTACTTTTAATATTTCGATTCTATTTGTGTTATTTTTCTTGTTTCTGTGGTGTTTTATGTTGTCGATCCAAGTAAAGTTGTCTCTTAATTCGACCCATGCTTTCTTGACTCCACCTGATTTTTCTATATGGTAATTTAGTGTTTCGGTTCTTAATTTCTCTCTGTGTTTTCGTATTTGCAGGTTTATTTCTTTGCTCAGATTTGTTATTTCTTTTTTGTTATTTTTCCTGTCTCTAATCAATGTTTTTCTTTGCATGATCAACTTTCTTGCTTCTGGACCTAGTTTGTCTTTTTTCTCTCTTGTTGTTCTCAATTTGTTTTCAGTTTCTTTTAATTCCTTTTCCAGAGCGTCGTACTTTACTTGAACTTCTTTAAGTTCAAGGATGCTTTAAGATTAATAAGGCATTTTCATAACAGCGCATAACAGCGTTGTCATAAAATTACGTCTAGTCGCATTAGACTAGATGCTAAGTATTCTTGCATGCATGTGTCTTGATATGTTTAACATTATATAAGGTGTTCAATTCTTTGTATGAAAGGCAACGTATATTCACGCCTCAAAATGTCTACCTGGTTCAATTGTTTATTTTCTCTTTTTATTTGGGCCAACTTCACTACGAAGTCTAGTGAAAGCCTAGATTCTCATTCTCGCTTAGCTTATTCCGCCATTGTATCATACAATGGCGGAATAAGCTAAGTAACATAAAACATAAAAGTCTTTAATGTCACTTAAACATTTATGTAACAGTTCTTTGTAGTTTAGACTCATTGGTTTCATGCTTAGCTCCTGCCAAGTCAAATGTCATAAATATAAACCGAAAAAAAAAATTACTATAGTACTGTTTGTGAACTCTTTTTATTTTATTAATTTCTATATAATTCACCAGGTGACGTGTGATATCTATTGAACTTATACGTATTGGTTTGTCTGGTTAACGTATATTGATTTTAGTACCTACCTTTAAAAAATAAAACAATGTTCAGTAAAATAATATGAGAACATTAATCCTTTTCAATAAAACATAACGATCCAAACGCAATATGGGCACTAGGAGAAATCTCAAATCTATTTGTAAAAATTTCAGCAAAATGATTTCAAGAACATAACAATTTGATTTGATTATCAGCAACTTAATGATGAAATAAGATATTTTTGTGAAACTAGCCATGGAGTCAATAATAGTAAATTATAGTTACAGTAATACAGACGAAAAGGAAGGTGGGCTAAAGATAATGAACAGTCAGTCAAAAATTATACATAAATCAGAAAAGATAGGCATTGCAGAAAATTTGGCAACGATGACGACTACCAAAGAAGAGTTGGAATCAAATACGAAAGACAAAGAAGAATTAGAAAGCCAAGACAGGTCAATTTGCACAGCCGAACAATATTCGAAAGAAAAAAAGAAAGGGAAAGTGATTTTAGATATTATTCAAAAACGTTTTAAACAATTACAACACTTCATAGACACGAATCAAAAGTTTCGCAAGAGGTGGAGTAAGAAACATGTTTTAAACAACTTTAGCAAGTTGAGCGTACAACAATATAAGTTTGGTGCTCGACAAAGTTTTAAGGAAGTCTATAATTGTTTTCTTAATAAAGTAACACGCTCTAGTACACCTCATAAACTCATGCGGCGTTACGAGCCATCTCAACACCGTAGGCCACGTCCAAGGCGGTACAATAATGATGACTACGATTATGAAGATGATTATGATTATAATTTAAAAAAATACTATAATCGATCAAAAGCCGAACCCAAAGGTATATCATGCGAAGGTATATTCCGTGCCCTATTATTTTTAATCAGTTGTATAGTTTCGTATCCATGTCTTATATGCTGCATATGCTTTAATATTTGTACTCATGCTATATGCTTACGATAGTATTTATAGGAAAACTATTTTATTTAATATAAGCTGTTCCGATAGTCGTCAAAATTAGTTTAATTTTATGAAGACTCCCTGTTTACCTGGATTCCCCTATTTTGAGAGCAAATTTCCCTTTTTTTTATTTCGCTACAAATGATATTGGGACAGTTGGAACTAAATATATCTTGTTATCCTAAATTTCCAAAAGTCTAAAGCATATCTGTATCATATGGTAGAAATAGACGGGTGAACACTTACAGAAATGCCAACCAAAACTAATTGCTGCCAGTTCCATAGTTACTTGCACTCACTGTTAAACAGCTGTTCAAAAAACATAGTTATAATTTAGTATTTCTAAATTTTGGTATACTCCGTAAAATATGATGATACAGCTAACAGCTAAGCAAGCTAATAAGCAAGTCCGACGACACTACTTTGAACCGTAGTTGTACAACGCCAATATATACTTAAATATACTTAAACCAACACAATACATTATGGGTCCTAAGTGAGCTAAGAATATTTATTGCCTACCATATGGATGGCAGAATAAACCCGTGGCGACTCTCAACCTGTGGCGACTCTCACATACAAAGAAACAAACATACTACAGCTTCATCTAACGAAGACACACCAAACTACGAAGTAACTCCTCTATGAGAAATGCTAATCCTGTATCGCTATATGAAGAATTCTCTCGCCGATTAGCATATATACAACTTCCCAACACCAACTGTTGGGCCACGTTCCGCCAGTCATGATCACGCCGGAGGATCCTGCCTGTGTTGGAGTGACATGATACCCGTTCCTTCCTAGTGGTGAGCCCGACTTGATTGGAAGCAGCCTTCAAAGAAGATCCGCAGCAGTACCATCGCCACCGTCGTGTACCCTCCCACAGCGATGGGCAGCAATCAAGTCTGAGCCAGCCAGCAACCTCGGCCTCAATCTGTTGAGGCCGAAGCTGGCTACCACACGCAGGTGGCGACTGCTCCAGCCTGGTTACCCCTACGGCCTCATCAGCGTCTAGGCACAGCACACTGCACCAACGGTAAACATAACAGCAACAGCGTCCGTTTTGGGAAGTACCTCCCGCAGGCGTGCCGCCAACTTGTCCGCTAGAGCGGCGCTACCTTACCGGGGACCTGTAAGATCAGGGCCCCGGTCATGGCTCGCTTGGTGCAGAGCCCGCCTGCGGTGCCGAGATCACCCAGGTTTATATTAGCCTCTGCGGCCTCCATTAGCCTAGCTATAGACGTCTCCGATCCAGCAGGCACGGAGACAGTGACAGCCGCGGCTGTCGGAGGCCGTGGCACAGCCTTTTGTTCACTATACGACGGCGGTGGGGCAGTAGCACTCCCCATCGA